CCGTGCCAGGTGCAGGGTCTGCTAGCTGGGTGCTGGCAGGCTTGCACCTGGCACGGGCACCGTAGCCAGCCCGTGCCCCTTTAAGGGGTCCGGGGCCGGGAGGGGGGCATAGAGTTTCCCTGGTGTTGGCCAGAGTGGCCACCAGGGAAACCTGGGGAGGCTTAGCCTCCCCCTAGTTCGAACTAAAGGGCTACACAGCCCTTAGTTCGAACTAGCTAGTTCGAACTAGGCGTTAGTCCTCGTAAAATGAGGTTTACCTAGTTCGAACTAAGCGCTCCGCTAGTTCGATTCAAATTCGAACTAGCGAAGCGCTAGTGTAGCGCATAGGAAAGTTAGTTCGAACTAACGTCCGTTAGTTCGCTTAGCCTCCCCCTAGTTCGAACTAAAGGGCTACACAGCCCTTAGTTCGAACTAGCTAGTTCGAACTAGGCGTTAGTCCTCGTAAAATGAGGTTTACCTAGTTCGAACTAAGCGCTCCGCTAGTTCGATTCAAATTCGAACTAGCGAAGCGCTAGTGTAGCGCATAGGAAAGTTAGTTCGAACTAACGTCCGTTAGTTCGAACTAACTTTCTAGTGTAGACATACCCTCCCTTGGCTGCATCTAGACTGGCAAGTTTTTCTGCAAAAGCGGCTGTTTTTGCGGAAAAACTTGCCAGCTGTCTACACTGTCCGCTTGAATTTGCGCAAGAACACTGACGATCTAATGTAAGATTGTCAGTGTTCTTCCGCAAATACTGTGCTGCTCCCATTCGGGAAAAAGCCCTCTTGTGCAAATGTATTTGTGCAAGAGGGCCAGTGTAGACAACTAAAAACTGTTTTGCGCAAAAAAGGCCCAATGGTGAAAATGGCGATCGGGGCTTTCTTGCGCAAAACCACGTCTAGATTGGCATGGACACTTTTCCGCAGAAAGTGCTTTTGCGCAAAAGCATCTATGCCAATCTAGATGCTCTTTTCCACAAATGCTTTTAACGGAAAAACTTTTCCATTAAAAGCATTTGCAGAAAATCATGCCAGTCTAGACGTAGCCCTCATGTAACCTTCATAAAGTCATGGGAGGGCACATACTCAATCCATGAAAATTGGTGTGATATCCTTAAGGCCAATGAAGATATACTGATTTACACCAGCTGAGAATATGCCTTGTAATCTCTGAATTCTTCACTTTCCCATCTGTAAAATGGGCATAACCCTAATTCTAACTTATCTAATTAGTAGAGCTGGACAATTTTAGTTCAAAACTGTTTTGAATGAAAAATTGGGTTTTGAATAAATGTGGGGGATGGAGAGGAATTTAACAGTGTCTGCTTTCCATGGAAAACTCCAACTTTTTATTGAAAATATAAGCACCTGAAAACCACAAAACCTTAGGCTAAAATCTGAAAATTTAATTTGAAATGTTACTATGGTAGCTCCTGGGGCCCCATCTACACGGCAGGGTTTTTGTGGATGAAGCCTATAGTGCAAGAGTTTTTGCGCAAAAACTTCTTGTGCAGAAGCCCGTCCAGACCTCAAAGCACATTGCAAAAGTGATGTGCTTTTGCGCAAGAGAGTGTCCACACTGCATAGACGCTCTTGCACAAGAAAGCTTTGATGGCCATTTACAGAATGGCCATCAGAGCACCTGTGTTTTTTCGGAGCGTCCACACCTGCCTTTTTGTGCAAGAGCTGTAGCGCAAAAAGGAGTTATTCCTTGTGGGGAGAGGAATAGCTCTACTGGCAAAAGCCCTCTGGTCTGTTGATTTTCTTGTGCAAAAGCACACTTGAGGTGTGGACACTCCGCCGTTTTTTTCGCAGAAACCTTGTAGTGTAGACGTAGCCTGAGAGTTGTAGCTCAGGTATCTTATGCCTGCATTCTCCTCTGTAGGAGGGGGTCTCCCAGGCCAAACAACATCTTCCACAATGAACCAGAGCTATGGAACTCCCATGCTACTCCCATGATGGTCACACAAAAGGGAAGATGGGTATATTGTGTTAGATTTTCTGTGGGGGAGGAAGCAATAAAATTCCTACTAGCTCTACTACTTTGTAGTAGGGTCTTCCTATTATTATGGGCTTGCAGTGCTTGGCACAATGGAGCACCAATCCCAGCTGGAGTTTCTAGCAGTGTTCCCTCCCATTTTTTTCATCCTGATGAGGAATGAATTTTGTTATGTACAGTAAGGCATGTGCAGATGTGCACCACCAGCAGAAATATGTGCTGCCAGGTCTGGGTCCTGCGGGCACTCTGCTAATCAGCTGGGTGGTATTTGAACCTCTCCTGGGTGGCTGCCCAAGTGCTCAGTTTACAGGGAACATTGGTTTCTAGATACCTTTTTCGTATGTATTAACTAAGAAACTGGTCTTCTTAAAGGGCAGTCTTAGCTTTTGGAACCAATAGCCAGCAGCTTTTATTTTTCTAGCTTTGTTTTTTCTCCAGAGTTGTGCTGCTGGTATCAAAATACACACAATGAACTCAAATTTCACCCCATCGTCTCTACAAAATCATGGCATGTCCATCATCAAAGCAAATAGAGCTTGGTCTTTTGCACAAATAGGCTTTGGAGGAAATTGATTTGTAAGGGGCGGGGAACAAATGCAGAGCTTTTATTGCTAAAAGGTACCAGGAGTAATCAGTGTGGTCAACAGAAGCAATTATACATGATGATAGTTTCAGAGACGGGGGAATAGGAGAGAGTCATTTTGGGAGCAGGAGGAGAAAGGGACTGAATGCCACATTATAAATTGAGTGGATTCCAGATGATTAAAAAAAATCTCCCAGCTGCCTTTGGGGAAGGGCGTAGGAAGCCAGATGTCCTATGGTCTTTACAGTGTTGCAGTAGTGATTATTTTTTATTAGGTGCTCAGAATGTATGGTAATGAAATCTTTCTACCTCCCTAACTACCTATTTGGTTAATACATAGACTTTTTCTATTACACTGCTAGATTTGAGTTAGAAGTTGAACAATAGGAATCATGTAGTGAAAAATATTGATAATGTATAAGGAATGTTCATATCACAGATTCAAAAGGGAATAATTCTTCATGTATTTGAAAACGTTCAGAAACTCTCTATAGAAAAGCTTAGGTTTAGAAAATGTTTGCTTCTCAGATTTTTTGTTTTCTGTTTTTTTCTCCCTTTGCAACCTGAAAAAAAGAGTAGGGAAGGGGGAGTGAAGGTGAAAGCCAGAACAAAGGGTACGTCTAGACTACTGGCTTTTGTTGAAAGGCTTTGTCGACAGATACTGTCGACAAAGCTTCTGTTGACAAAGAGTGTCTAGACTACATCCAGTTCTGTCGACAAAGCAAGATGCTTTGTCAACATGAGAGTGTAGACGCAAAGGACAGTGTAGATACAATAACGCCTTCTGTCAACAGAACTCTGTTGACAAAAGGCGTTATTCCTCATAGAATGAGGTTTACCACTGTGGACAAAACTGCCGAGTTCTGTCGACGTTATATTGACAGAACTCAGCAGTAGTGTAGACGCAGGTATAGTTTTGTTGACAAAAGGCCACTTTCGTTGACAAAACCCTGTAGTCTAGACACACTCAAAGTGACTACACTTTCCATTTTCTGGTGTGGTGAAGGGAAAATGGAAAATTTCAAAGAAACAAAATTTGTTCATGAAAATTTCTGCATGTGAAAGAAAGGCCTTGTTTAAATGGAAACATTTTTCACTTGGAAAAATTTTGAACTGTTTTAATCTCCACTTCTTCCATAGTGGAACCCCTGATCCCATATAAGTTGGGCCTTGCTGTGACACCCTTCCTATTTAGCAATGACAGGTTGCGGACACTCCCCCAATCCTTTTTCTGACCCACCCAGGTTGTTAACACCCATGGTCTGGTGCATTAATGTCTTGCTGTTGTAAGTATAAGTGGAAAATATCTGACCTGTAACATGCACTGTGTATAAATACCCATAACAATGATAACCACATCATTAGGATGCTTCCTGGAGAATAATGACAAACTTGGGGATTAATGCTCATCAGCTTCTCTCGTCTCATTATTAATTCTCTACTGCACCTGGACTGTAATTGTTTCAACAGCTAGTATTAGGCCTTGTGCCCTCAGTATAGCATGAGTGACTCAAGTCTATTACTTTGGTTGTGTGTTCCTAGATGAGTTTAAATCCTTCATGAAAAGGCTACCTAACAACCACTTCCTGACCATCGGGAACATCCACCAGCACTGGGGCAATGACTGGGATCTTCAGAACAGATACAAGCTCCTGCAGAGCTCCATGGAAGCCCAACGGCAGAAGATCCAACGCACTGCCCGCAAACTCTTTGGCCTCAGTGTCCGGTGCCGGCACAACCCTAACCACCAGCTGCCTAGAGAAAGGTACTTCTACCCCCATCTCCTGCCCCAGTGATAGGCCCTTGCTTATGGCCTTGGTGAGCAGCACCAGTGGTTTGTTTGTTTTTAAATACTTTGTGCTTTTTACAGTGCTCAGAGCACCTGGAGTGTCTCAGGCCCCAGTGACGTAGCTACAAATGAGAGAGTGAGAAAGGGAGAGAGGCATGTTCAGAGTTACTGAGGAAATCCTGTTACAGCTGCAGCAGCTGTTGATATTATAGAGCAATCACTAACTCCTCACAGCTTCTCCGGATGGCAGAATTTAGAGCTGTCTCCCTCCATTTTGGGAGTTCTGTCTCCATAGTTTTAATGAACATTTCTCACCTGATCTTAGCTGTTGTCTGGAACCGGGGAGTGACGCTTGAAACCCTGGAAATAATGAGCCCTGACGTCTCCTCTTTCAAGCCACTCTGGGAGCGGATGGGCCGAGTTAGCATTTGTAGATGAACTGGTTTTTTTTCACCAGCTTGATCAGCTGCTTTTCTATTTCAAGAGATAATTAATTGGCTAACTAGAGGCTCTTGTAACCATTTTATCCATATGGCAGTGAGCATTCTCGGTTTTCACTTTTAGCTGTACATAGTCAATACAATCCTTCCAGATCTCTTTAATTAGGGATACATTTTGTGTAGGTGGGCCACATTCCAATGAGAATTCTAGGAATAATTTCAAGGTTAAAGGATTTTTTATTTTCTTCTGGAGAACATTTTCAAACGGACCCACCAATTGGCTAAGTTATTACAAGCAAGCCTGGCTTGTGCAGAAGTAACATCAGCATTCATATGCTATCTTCGAACAGTGCACCCTCTCCATCACCAAAAGCAGCAAACAGCACCTATCAAATATGCAGCCTACCACGCTGAAAGAAAGCTTTTGTATAAATATGTCTTTAGCATTTCACTTCTATTTTAAAAAGCCAACCAGGCAGAAAGAGAGCCTCCAACAAGCACTATAAAAACTGGGTGAGGGAGGATGAAATAGATGCTGGCAGTTGAGTTTTTAACTGACTGATGTGCTTGATTTGTTTAAGTCTACACCACCAGGCATATTATCATTTCCACTCTTATGTGTCATTCCACATTTGTAGTAAGTTGGGAGACAGTCTCAGTAGACAGAGATGGAGAGAGAGGTATGTATTTCTGTGTTCTTTTTGTTGGGGCTAGGAAACATTCTAATTTTCTAATGGTATATATTACATAAAGACAGATGCTTCTCATTCATGCCATTGGCTTTGAAAGGATAGAGGGGTTATACTAACAGCACGTTTCTCTCTCTCTTTCGTTCTGATACAAAAATGCATAACAGAAATAGTACATTATATATTCAATAGCAACCTAAAGGAGAGAAAAATAGAATTACTATTCACTGCCCTCCAGGAAGAAAAGAAGATATGTTATGTGTTTCCAGCAAAAAGGGAGGGTAAAGATTTTTGTAATTGGAATGACACTACTATGACCTTTGTTAATAGAAAGAAAGAAAGAAAGAAAGAAAGAAAGAAAGAAAGAAAGAAAGAAAGAAAGAAAGAAAGAAAGAAAGAAAGAATTGGATTGACTTGCTGTTTCTTAAAAGTACCTTGTCAATATCAAGTTAATAGGTTTTAAAAAAGAAGTGACTCCTTAATTCTTGTAGCTTGTATTAATTTTTTTGTTAATTTATTTAAAATTGAAAACTGAATGTGCACGTGTATGTTTATTTTAAAACTTTAGAGTTAATAAATAATACACACAATGCACCATCTATCCCGGGCTCTGGCTTAATTGACATTAGATAAGAATAAATTTCAGTGTTTCAGTCTTTAAGAATGATAATACATGTTTTCACTTTAGGGGAAATAGGGGACTGATTCACAAAAATATTAAAATCCCCCATTAAAATCCCCCATTTGCTTTTTTTTTCAATGAAATGTTGACACAATTGTGTAACTAAATGTTTAATTTTACAATTTAATTAGCTCAAACAAAAATCTTCTCAATCAAAATGAAAATCTCTCGTGTCCCATTTTTCCCAACCTGCCCTTTAGCCTTGCCAAATAAATGAATTCTGTAGTGTGGCTACAGAACTTCAACCAATCTGAACTCTTAAACTAGAGGGATGGGAATGAATTATTCCAAGACAAAGGCCCGTAAAGAGATCATTCTACCTGCAGTTCCCTCTTGTCTCTCAACTGCATCCTAAGGACACAAAGGGTATGTCTAGACTACATGGCTCCATCGATGGAGACATGTAGATTAGGTTTCTAGACATAGGAAAATGAAGTGGCGATTTAAATAATCGCCTCTTCGTTTACATCAAAATGGCTGCGGGCTGTGCCAATCAGCTGTTTGGCAGCACAGCACGGTAGTCTGGACGCTTTGCTGTCTACAACGGAAGCCCTTGCTGACCACCCCATTATGCCTCGTGGGGTTCCCTTGTCGACCGCAGAGAGTCCAGACTACCGCGCTGTGCCGTCGAACAGCTGATCAGCACAAAGTAGCAGCCATTTTGATGTAAACGAAGAGGCGATTATTTAACTCGCCACTTCATTTTCCTATGTCTAGTAAATTAATCTACATGGCTCCGTCGACGGAGCCATGTAGTGTAGACATACCCAAATAGACAGAACTGACAGCAGTGTAAAGAGCTAATGGAGTCTTCACCATCACCATGCATGTGGTGCATGATTTGCATTTTGCATTTCACAGGGCTTGAAGAACAAACACTAGACAGATCAGTTTATAATCTGCCTCATTTTCTAGTTCTAATGTGCCATCACAAACTTCTTAGTGGTCACAGCATTGCAGAGAGATGGTTTGAATCTGACAACAAAAACTACTGAAATGTAACCCTCTTTTCTGGCTATTGGAAGGAGGCTCAAGAGACACCCAACTAAGCCATTCTGGTTAATGCTCGCATTTGCTTTCAGATATCAGATGGTGTCTGTCTTTCTTGAAAGTTTCTACATCTCTCTCTTTCATGTTTATGCCTTGTCCCTAGGCATGCTCTGGGTTTTGCTTCTTATTTATATATCTATTTAGTGCAGCCATCAGCAGATGGTATTTTTCTCCTGTCCTGCCTGCATCTCCATAGTGCTGAGACACAGAAAACACTGTGCTATCCTCTGCTTCCCTCCCATCACCGCTTCACAATGCTGATTTGGGGAAGAGGAAAATTGCTAGTTTCTAGATCTTGGCTGAGACTCCTTTCCTGTTCTTCACTGCCTCAGAGGAGGAGTGGGTGGGAAGGAGGGCAGCCTGTGTTTGTACAATCCAACCTGCAGTGAGGCCAGGCTAGGACACAGTGATTTGATTCTCCAGTTGCCATTTTGTGGGGAACAGGCCTGCCATATTTCTGTAATTCCTATCAGGTCAACCCTTACTATTAGAGCTTTTTCTGTTTAGCTTCTCTTTGCCTACCAGCTGTAAATGGGCTTTTCATTGCACTGTGCCATTTGCAGCCCAGGTGAATACCCATGTAGATTACCTTCTGAAATATGCCAGGTCACATGGAACCACTCTTCTGTCCCTCTTAGGCTATGTCTACACTCATGCTTCTTGCGCAAGTAAGGCCATTCTTGCGCAAGAATCTGCAGAGCATCCACACTGCCTGCCTGCTTTTGTGCAAGGAAATTTACAGTATGGCGTGGTAAGCGAGGGCTTCTTGCGCAAGAGCTACACTCTTTTTTAACAGGTGCAAGCCCTCTTGCGCAGGAGCTCTTGCGCAAGAGGGCAGTGTGGATGCTCAGCAGGGATTTCTTGCGCAAGAAAGCCCTATGGCTAAAATGACCATCAGAGCTTTCTTGCGCAAGAGAGTGTCCACACTGCCATGGATGCTCTTGCGCAAAAGCACATCTCCCACATGGCAGTGTGGACGTTTTCTTGCGCAAGACTTCTTGCACAAGAACCCTTGTGCAAGATGTTCTTGTGCAAGAAGCCACCAGTGTAGACATAGCCTATGGGTGCGTCTAGACTGGCAAGATTTTGTGTAAAAACGGCCGCTTTTGCACAAAAACTTGCCAGCTGTCTACACTGGCCGCTTGAATTTGCGCAAGAGTACTGACGTTCTAATGTAAGAATTCAGTGCTTCTTGCTCAAATAGTTTGATGCTCCGCTCAGGGATAATCCCTCTTGCGCAAGAATACTTACGGAAGAGGGCCAGTGTAGACAGGCACCTTAATTTTTTGCACAAGAAAGCCCGATGGCTAAAATGGCCATTGGAGCTTTTTTGTGCAAAAGCACGTCTGTACTGTGCATGGATGCTTTTGCGCAAAAGCACTTTTTGTGCAAAAGCATCTGTGCCAATCTAGACGCTCTTTTGCATAAATACTTTTAACAGAAAAACTTTTCCGTTAAAAGTATTTCCACAAAATCATGCCAGTCTAGACACAGCCTAAGGCCTAAGGCTGTGTCTACACTGGTAAGTTTTTCCAGAAAATCATCTGATTTTCCGGAAAAACTTGCCAGCTGTCTATATTGGCCGCTTGAATTTCCGCAAAAGCACTGACGATCTAATGTAAAATCATCAGTGCTTTTCCGGAAAAACTATGCTGCTCCTGTTCAGGCAAAAGTCTTTTTCCGAAAGACTTTTGCCCGAAAGGGCCAGTGTAGACAGCATAGTTCTGTTTTCCGCCAAAAAGCCCCAATCGCGAAAATGGCGATCGGGGCTTTTTTGCGGAAAAGCGCGTCTAGATTGGCCACTGACACTTTTCTGGAAAAAGTGCTTTTCCGGAAAAGCGTCCTGCCAATCTAGACGCGCTTTTCCAAAAATGCTTTTAACGGAAAACTTTTCTGTTAAAAGCATTTCAGGAAAATCATGCCAGTGTAAACGTAGCCCATGTGTCTTGCTTCACTGGAGTGGTTGATGGTAATCTAATTTCACTGTCCAGCGGAGTTACTCCTGATTTACACCAGTGTAAGGCTACACTGCAATGCTATTTCAGGATACCAGAGTATCAGAAAATAGCTATCCCGCGTCTTCACAGCAAGCCCGTTATTTTGAAATATAATGGGTTCACTATTCCAATGTTCCTGTAAACCTCATTCCATGAGGAGTAAGGCATGTCTCGGAATAGCAGATTATTTCAAAATTTGGCACTGTGTAGACTGCGCCAAATTACGAAATAAGCTATTTCAAAATAAGATCCAATATTTTGCGTAGCTCAAATTGCGTATCTTATTTTGAGCTGCAGTACAGTTTAGATGCATCCTAAGTGAGCTCAAAATTAGACACTCAGGGCCTGATCCCACACTCTGTTCTACTAGCTTTACATTAAGTAGTGGGGGTGTGTGTGTGTGTGTGTGTGTGTGTGTGTGTGTGTGTGTGTGAAAGCACAGAAATGTATGTTGGCACATATGCATGTACACACACACTCAGTCTACAAAAACCCATAACTATCCGATCAACTTGAATGGACCCACATATACACATACAGCTGCTACGCATTTGTACACATAGCCCTGGTGTTATTCCTAGACCAATGACAGCCCTTTGGGATGGGACATCCACTGGTCTCAACTGGATCCTGGGGGCACAAATAAAACTCACAGAAATGAAAAGCACCAATGGAGTCTCCACTGTGCATGTGGTGTGTGGTTTGTGGCCGTGTCTAGACTGGGATGATTTTCCGGAAATGCTTTTAACGGAAAAGTTTTCTGTTAAAAGCATTTTCGGAAAAGAGCGTCTAGATTGGCACGGATGGTTTTCCGCAAAAACCCTTTTTGCGGAAAAGTGTCCATGGCCAATCTAGCCGCGCTTTTCTGCAAAAAAGCCCCGATCGCGAAAATGGCGATCGGGGCTTTTTTGCGGAAAACAAATCTGAGCTGTCTACACTGGCCCTTTTGCGCAAAATTTTGCGCAAAAGGGCCAGTGTAGACAGCTGGCCAGTTTTTCCGGAAAAGCAGCTGATTTTCCGGAAAAACTGGCCAGCTGTCTACACTGGCCCTTTTGCGCAAAATTTTGCGCAAAAGGGCCAGTGTAGACAGCTGGCCAGTTTTTCCGGAAAAGCAGCTGATTTTCCGGAAAAACTGGCCAGTCTAGACACAGCCTGTGTGTTGTTTCAAGAGCAAACACTAGACTGGTCAGTTGTAGTTCTCCAGTTCCTCTCATGTTGCATGTTAAACATCTGCTGGAGGGAATGGCAGGAGCCACTTAGCATCATCAGGTGTCCCTTGCCCCTCTCCCAATGTTAACATCTCCTCTTCATTGCCAGATCAAATTCGCTCAGTCAGTTGCTTTTTACCAACTTGCTGGTTTTAGCTTCTTCTTGAGGGAGGAGGGGGCAAGTTTCTTCCTGGTCTGTGGGGCTGAGGGGCCATCCCTTTTCATTGCAGGATGTGTCCCCAGCTCTTATCCCCAATGAGTCCCGTAGCAAGATACATGCCTATGACCGCTAATCATGAGCGATCAGCTTCATCCTTCTTCTGGTGCTGAGGCCAGTGCAAGTTCAGAGGAGAGGTGGTTGACACCACTGCATGCATAGAGAATCCCTGGGCAGACGAACACTCCAGCCACAGGAATACTCCTGACATTTGGGCTGTGTCTACACTGGCATGAATTTCCGGAACTGCTTAAAACGGAATACTATTCCGTTTTCAGTTTTTCCGGAAAAGGAGTGTCTACATTGGCAGGCTGCTTTTCCGGAAAAGCCCTTTTTCCAGAAAAGCGTCTGTGGCCAATGTAGATGCGCTTTTCCGGAAAAGACTACTGGGCTGTCTACACTGGCCCTTTTCCGGAACAGTGTTCCAGAATAAGGACTTATGCCCGAGCGGGAGCAGCATAGTTTTTCCGGAATAGCGGCTGATTTTGTACAGTAGTGCATCGTTGCTTTTCCAGAAATTTAAGGGCCAGTGTAGACATCTCTCAGCTTATTCCGGAAAAGCGGCTGATTTTCCGGAATAAGTGGCCCAGTGTAGACACAGCCTTGGAGTCCTTCAAAGGCAGCACAGAGCAATTGAAGTCTGCTGGGGTCAGTGTAATGCAGGGAAAGATTTGTTTTCTTTGTGCTCCCTTGGGCCTTGCCCCAGCTGTAACACAGAACAGGGACATGAGCCAGTGCCCTGACCACATCACCTTTTGAACAATACATGTGCCCTCCCAGGAAGCCTAGGGCAGGAATATCCCCACTATATAGTTGGGGAACTGAGACCCAGAGAGATGATGTGACCCAGCCAAGACTGGAACTCCTGTCTTTCAAGCCCCTGGCCCTCCCTGAGCACATCCCCTTGCTGCCAGCGAGCTCCCCTGTTGTAACCGTCATGGTGGAAATTACAGTGTAGGTGGGAGCTTGGAATGTATCTTTAAGACATAATAGCTGCTGTGAGCCTGGCAACCTGTGATTTCCCTTTGTTGCCATTGAGCAGGGAGCTCCATCACAGGAGCCTCGTGCTTCATGAATGAGCCTTTCACCCATGCAGACAAAAGAACAATTTGGCAGATGGGTGGGTTGTTTTATTTCCCATGCACCTGCTCTAATGCTGCAGCTTTATATTTAGAGCGCTGTCTGCAGCAGAAGCAATGATTTGTGCTTCCCTTGAGCAGAGAAGGTGATTCCTCCACATTGTTGTCAGGGTGTCCAGTGGTTAGAGCGCTGCAGGTCGAGAGACAGAGTTGCTGACTGTAAAGCTGTTTTCCTGCTTGCCAGTCAGGAAAAGCCAGTGACATTTATAGATGTCAGCATTTCTCTGCCTTTTCCCACTTGCAGGACACTTCTGGGTAGCAGTTATGGGGGACAGAGACCCTGGCAGCTTCATGCCAAGTGAGGAATGTGCTAATGGTCGGTCCCTTCACACTTCTCAGCCTTCTGCATTTTCCTGTTAATTCATTTAGCTCTCGTGTCCTTTTCAGTTTGAGCCTTCCACTCCATTTTCTTTCTGCTTTCTATTTTCTTTCTCTCCCCCTCCCTTTTTCTCCTTTTGTCAGTTTTCTTTCCATTTGCTTTTTCTCTCCCTTATTTTATTTCACACTTCCCTTTAACCTGTCCCTCCTTTCATGTCTGCTTCCAATTCTTTTCCACCTCTCGCCCCTCTTTCTTATTTATTTCTTCTCTTCCGTTTCTCTCTCTCCCACCTCCCTCTCTCTTTCACCCCTCCCTTCTCTTCCTTAAGTCCTCTTGCTGTTCTCTGCTGCTGTATCATTTAATGCCTTCTTTGATACAGCGCACAGCTTAATGATTATTCGGAGGTCAGGCTATGCAGGTGCCATGAATTTCACTAATCCGGCTCTGAGAGCCTCTGTCCATAATCACTCCCCCTGTTCTGCAGGGACTGAATCCTAATTTGTCATTAGCCAGTCCTCTCACTGCAGCACTACTCAGAACTTTCTTGCTCAGAAGAGACAATGAAGTATTCATTCGTGAGGGGGAGGGGGCTGCGGTGCAAGGAGTTCTGGGAGGGCTGGTTCCAAAGGAAATGCTGCATGGAGGTACTAAGCGGTAGTCAGTCTGAAAGGCAACATTACAGAGGTGTTGGAGAAGCCATACATGTGGCTTTGGTCATTCCAGAGGCAGAACACATGGAGGCTGTTGTAGCCACAAAGCATTGCAGGAGAGGGAAGGGGGCACATAGTAAGGGTATGTCTACACTAGCCCCCTAAATCGATCTAGGAAGGCTAATGAAGGCAACCAGAATTGCAAATCATGCCTGGGATTTAAGTATCCCATGCTTGATTTGCGTGTTCCCAGCCAGTCGCCATTTTAGAAATTGATTAGCCCGGAGTAACTGCCCGCGTCTACATGCGGCAGTGAAACGGGATTCTGGAATAAAGCCCCTAAATCAAATTAGGTGGTAAACCTCATTCCACGAGGAATATCACCTAATTCGATAGGAATCTCTCTCTAAATCGATCTAGGGGGCTAGTGTAGGCGTACCCTAAGAGAAGTTCTGAGTGGGCAGTAGTGACTAGTTATGAACAGAGCATGCTATAATATGGAGTAATAGGCACAGACACTGAAGTAGTGGGGTGCTTTAAGGATAGCAGAACTATCTCCCACACACCCAAGCCTCTCGCTTCATTTTTGTCTTCACTGACTAGTGCCTAATCAACTGATCAAGGTTCTGGAGGGGTTTGGCTCATTACATCTAGCACTGCCAATTTGGTTGGACCGGATGGACTGACTGCCATTTGCAGCAAATGGTGTCTGATCCATCTGATCCATGAGAGTTGGCCACCCTAATTACATTCCCGAGCTCTTTTCCCCCCTAGAGATGGGAGAGCTAGCAAGGGGCTGCATAAGAGGATGCCCTGATTCACTGCCTAGTCTCGGCTTAGGGAAGCTGTCATAACTGCAGCAGTTGGTACCAATTCCCAAGGAACCATCTGCCAGCTGGGGATAGTCAATGTGGCCATTCCCTGCAACCCTTTGCTGGGTTTGCTAGTTCCATGCCCACTAGTGAATCATCAGCGCTGGTGACTTCCCAGCAAGAAATTGAGGCCTGCTGGCCTTTCTTTTGCATGGCCTAGGTAGTGCAGAGGGAGTGATGCAGGCCAGGGAATCTGCCCCAGAGCTATTCCTTAAAGAGCATTTATTCTCCAGTTGAGGAGGAGGATAATTCTTTGCCTGAAAGGAGACTTGAACAGGATGCATTAGATGCCAGGCATCAGAACATGCAGCTTCTTAAATCCACCACAGCCATAATAAGAGCTCAGATTCAATGGCAAGAGCCCATCTGTACACTTGAGACTAACATTCTTGTTTTCTTGTTTGCAGGACAATACAGCAGTGGCTTACCCGAGTTCAGTCCCTGCTTTACTGCAATGAGAATGGGTTCTGGGGGACCTTTCTGGAGAGCCAACGGAGCTGTGTGTGCCATGGCAGCACCAGCCTATGCCAGCGCCCCATCCCATGCATCATTGGGGGCAACAACAGCTGTGCCATGTGTAGTCTAGCCAACATTTCTCTCTGTGGCTCATGCAACAAGGGCTACAAGCTGTATCGGGGCCGCTGTGAGCCACAGAATGTTGACTCAGAGCGTAGTGAGCAGTTCATCAGCTTTGAGACAGACTTGGACTTCCAGGATCTGGAGCTGAAGTATTTGCTGCAGAAAATGGACTCGCGCCTCTATGTGCACACCACTTTCATCAGCAATGAGATCCGCCTGGACACCTTCTTCGACCCCAGGTGGCGCAAGCGTATGTCCCTCACTCTGAAGAGCAACAAGAACCGGATGGACTTTATCCACATGGTGATTGGCATCTCCATGCGCATCTGCCAGATGCGCAACAGCAGCCTGGACCCTATGTTCTTTGTCTATGTCAACCCCTTCAGTGGGAGCCACTCTGAGGGCTGGAATATGCCCTTTGGGGAATTCGGCTACCCACGCTGGGAGAAAATCCGCCTCCAGAACAGCCAGTGCTACAACTGGACCTTGCTGCTGGGCAATCGATGGAAAACCTTTTTTGAGACTGTCCACATCTACCTACGTAGCCGGACTCGGCTGCCCTCCCTGCTGCGCAATGAAACTGGCCAAGGGCCTGTGGACCTTTCTGACCCCAGCAAGCGTCAGTTCTACATCAAGATCTCTGATGTGCAGGTGTTCGGCTACAGCCTGCGTTTTAATGCTGACCTGCTGCGCAGTGCAGTGCAGCAGGTCAACCAGTCGTACACCCAAGGTGGACAGTTCTACTCCTCGTCCTCTGTCATGCTCTTGCTGCTGGACATTCGGGATCGAATCAACAGACTGGCGCCCCCTGTGGCACCGGGTAAGCCCCAGTTGGATCTGTTCTCCTGTATGCTCAAGCATCGCCTGAAATTAACCAACAGTGAGATCATACGTGTGAACCATGCACTAGACCTGTATAACACTGAGATCCTCAAACAGTCAGACCAGATGACAGCCAAACTCTGCTAACCCAGACTCTTCTGTGGACACATCAGTAACTGATCCTTTCACTGTATAAAAAAAAATGAAAAGAAAGGGGAAAAAAGGAAATTTGTAAAATGTAATTAAGAGACGAAAAAGGGGAAAAAATAGGAAATTCTTCATTTGTTGGAAACTAAACCAGTTCTAGCAGCTGTATAAAACTGTCAGGCATGTTTGTTATTTCTATAATCCATCATAAATGGGTCACACCTTACTATCTTTCGACCTTGAGGGTATTGCTTGTTAGGACTCAGGTGTTGCAAAAATAAATCAGAGGGAGGATCAGAGCTGGGGGGAGGGATGTTTCTGTAATGAACTGTAAAGATTTCTGCTATGCAGGTGCCAAGACAAACAAATCAACAAACAAACAAACAAAGGATTATATATAAATGTAAAAGAACTGCCATTATTCCTAGTGGGAGTAAATGGTCAAAAGATAAAAGATATTTCTTCTGTTGCGATTTATACCAGCTTCATGTTTAATTATTCACCTCTCCTGTGATGAACATTGTAGGAAGGGAGGTGATGGCAGGCCTTTGAAAGCAACAGCTATGCCACACACACAAGGAGGAGCGAAGGACTACATTCTCCAAGAGACAGGGAACATCTTTGGGTGCCCAACTTGAAACATAGTCCCAGTGGGCCAGTGACCAGTTCCCTTGCAGGACAACAATCTGTACTGGGGTAGGTCCTCAGCTGGTCCAAATGATCACAGCTCCATTGACAGCATTTGCCATAACTCCATTAGAGCCCACTTGTAGCTGTGACTTCAGCTGTCCTCCACAAATGTACAGCTCAAGCTGAAATCAAGCATCGAAGAACAGACACTCAAAGCCATTAGCCACTTGGGAAAATACACGAGGTCAGGCTCTTTTACGTACACTGTACCTGCACACACACAAGCCCTTTCTTGTTCCCCTTTCTCTCCACCAACAAAATCCAGCTTTCATCTGCAGACACTAAACTCTGACCCATAAACAAGAGACAGCTTGTTTCAAAATGACCACAACATTTGCAAAAAAATTCACAAAATCACAGCAGTGAAACAGATTGAATTGTTAAAATGTAACTAAGCTGGGCAAAGTTTTGCAGTGGGCATATATATTTTTATTATTTTTCAAAAATCCCAAAGAGCATATGATGGAAGGTTCAGGGCACAATCTACAACTGAGGGGCTGTGTCTACACTGGCGCGATCTCACGCAAAAGCGGACGCTCTTGCGCAAAAACTTGCTGCCTGTCTGCACTGGTCGCGTGTTCTTGCACAAGTAAACTGACATTCTAATGTATAAAATCAGGGCTTCTTGTGCGAGAACTCTGACGCTCCTGCTCAGGAAGAAGCCCTTTTGTGCAAGAGCTCTTCCAGAAGAGGCCAGTGTAGACAGGCAACATGAATTTCTTGTGCAAGAAAGCCCTGTGGTTAAAATGGCCATCAGAGTTTTCTTGCACAAGAGAGCGTCTACACTGGCATGGATGCTCTTGCGTAAAAGCACATCTCTTGCACAAAAGTACATACCAGTGTAGATGCTGTCTTCTAGAAGAGTCTTTGCACAAGAATTCTTCCGCAAAAGAATTTTTGCATGAGAACGCGCCCGTGTAGACGTAGCCAGAGAAGTACAGTGGGGCAGGCTCCTGTGATTGATTTCAACAGGTTTTGGTGAGGAATCATTAAAAAGTAAGGTGGTAGAGTACCTAACAGGAGAAATAGAAATACTCGAACAGGTCGCTTAAGGCAAAAAGCAATATTTTGGAATAAACTAGAACTGAGATCTTGAGACAGATCTGAACCTAAACTACAGATCCTGATCTGGCTTTCTTTTTAATATTTCAGCTCAATCAAATTCATATTTGGACCCTGAAATTTCAAAGATATGAGGTCACATTTTGTTACTTTAGGTGTTTTTTAAAATTTTGCCTTTTCATCACACATTGAGTTATTTCAGTTTGTAAGGTTCTGGATCAGATTCTTCTATGCTGTGCACTGAAGTGGAGGGGAGAGAATTAGCTAACTTTGAAAGAATCATTTAGGGTGTGTATAGACTGTGGCGCTATTTCGGGATACTAGAAGTATCCCGAAATAGCAACACCGCATCTTTAAACTCTCCCGCTATTTCCTGAAAGAGCGGGTGCACTATTCTGGCATCCCTGTAAGTTAAGGGATTTGTCGGAATAGTGCCTTATTTTGAAATTTGGTGCTGTCTCTACAGCACCAAATTTCAAAATAAGCTCTTTCGACCTAGACTTGGAATAAGCTATGCCATTTGCATTGTGCAAATGGCGTAGCTTAATCTGACAGAAAGGTGCGGTCTAGATGCATTCCCTGAAAAACCCACAAACTAGCTAGGGGAAGAATATAATCAAACTGCTTGGAACTGTTACCAAGAGAAAAAAAGAGTAAAATCCTGCAGTCAGCCCAAGATGTGTATGTGGTGGGGAGTCAGTTACATTAGTGACACTTGTGTTTGCTTGTTCCCTGGCAGACATATTCATGGAAATAGTCGCTTTTAAGAAAACATTGGAGTGTATTCATGAGAAGTAAATTTCACATTTGTAATTATGAGTATTTGCAGTGGAAACTGAGTTTCTAGGAATTACATTCATCCAGTGAAGGGCCAGGAACATACCATGTAATCTACCTGACTGATCAAAAGACTGAAAGTTAAGAATGATAGTAATGAATTTTAAATATCAAGTGCTGCTTTTGAATACTTAGCCTTGGTCTACAGTAGGGAGATATTTCAAAATAACTCTCCTTATTTTGAAATAGTAAGTGGAGCGTCCACACTACCAAGCTTGTACCAAAACCAGCCAATTAGCCCATCATAAAACGGGATTTTCAGGTCTCTCCTCCACATCCTATTCCCTTTCTATCTCGGTCTTCTCTCCTGAGCCTCCAGTGTCTCGCTCCCTCTCTCTCTCTCTCCCCTCCTCCTACTGTCTCCCCCCCCCCCCCCCCTGCCTCTCTCTCCGTCTCTCTCTTCTCCCCCTTGTACCTCTCACTCTCTTTCTCTTCTCCTCCTCCTGCATGGGGCGCGCAGAGCCCAAATAGCTGTTTGCGCCACTTGCTCCCGCACAGCAACCCGCCTGAGTGGCTGCCTATGAGCTCCAGGTGTCCCCCTGCACCATTTTCCTTCAACCTAGCACTGATCCTGCAACCTCCCAGTTGTCCTCCACCTCTCCCTCCCTCTCATTCCCCCGCCCTCCCCTCAGCCAGGGTCTGTTCACGGCCGGGGGTGGGGCCTGGAGCCGCTGTCATGCTGCACGTCTCTGCCCTCCCCCCTTCGCCTCCCACTGTGGCACTCGGCTGACTTCTGCGCTGCTCAGCCCGGCCGCCGCGGGGGAGC